ATTTTGATTGGAACGCTACTCACTAGAAATTTTATGGTCTCAGATATTGTAATTAACCTTGCACGTCCTACAAATGTTTGAGAGGTCCTATTATTTCTTCTTGAAAAGAGGAAAGCACACTATAATTATCTCTTTTAGTGATAATATGTATTATCATATGATTGTAACTTAGTGCTCCACATATACTGTAATTAGATCCTAGTTTTATTTTGTTGGTATGCAATTTCCTAGATTGGTTGATAGATTTTTGTATTGCAAAAACTTCGAGAGGTCCAACTTACAATGGTGACTCTGTCAAAATTTCTATAAAATGTTTATAACTATATGAAATTCATTATTATGTATAACTTAAATATTGATATTTTAGCTTAACCCTTGGCTGATCAAGGCTTATGAAATATGAAGTCATTTCATATTTCATGCCGCTCATACCTTTAATATCGGGGTTTGACAGATAGCGTCCTAACTGATTTACCTGTAAAATTATTTTCTGAAACATTATATTTTTATATAGATAATTTTAAGAAATACTATGTTAAGTATTGGACAATTTGATATTTAACTTTCTTTATCTAGTGAAATTATTTTTATCAGTTCTGGAAATTTTGGTTTTCAAGAAATGCAAGCATGAACTTCAGTTATGAAAGTTTATTTTGGTAAAAATTAGTCATGCAAGTTTGACTTTGAAAATGAAAACTGTATTTTTATAGTGATGATTTGCTTGCATGTTTGAAGATGGATTTGGAAGGAATTTTATACAGGACACTGGTTGCTAATGACATTTCTGTTAGCCTTTGCCGTCTTGGTTAATAACTAGCTAGTTTGACTTTTGTGAGTTTAATTCTTATGTTTGTTATTCATGGGTCATGTACATGCATTTGTTTCGTGGCTTCGACCACTTATGGTTAGTTACTCTCATAGACTGTGTATTGATGTCTATTTTGTGGTTTCGATCACATCTGGTTAGTTACCCTTGTGGACTGTGTGTTCACGTTTGTCTTCGTGACATAAGTCATGTTTGGTTAATTACCCTCGTGAACTATGCGTGCACATTTGTGAATTGTTTTGATAAATCTTCTAAAATTATATGAATTTTAATTAATTGGTGATTTCATACATAATGGTTTTTAATTTAGTAAATATTGTTATTCTTATTTATTTATTTAATCATTTTGGCTTGTCAAGATCAAATGTTAAAGCTGCTTTGTCATTATAGATTTAAATGTTCTTGTTATTGAAGTTATATAAAAATTTTATTTCAAGTTTATAAATTTATTTACATTGAATTTATTTCTCATTTAATATATGTATCTATTATATTTTATTCATTTTAATTCTATAAAATGATATCATTTGGACTTTATTCACTAAAAAGTTACTTTTGGTCTCAGATTTACTAAACGATGCTGAATCTCTTGCTGACTTCTGAGGGTCTTATAGCTAAGCTTGGTGGAGATTTGATTGAAATTATTTCTTTTTTGATATAATTATAGAATCTATGTATTTTATTTTGAAAATATAGTTAGGTTCTTCACATAAGCTATAGTTAGATCCTATTATCATTATATGCTATGACTGTTGGTTGGAAGGAATAGAGCTCCTGATTGTTGTAGTATTTTATTTAAAATTGTATTGTAGAATTTTTAGAAGGTCTTATTTACAAGGGAGATACTACTGAAATTTTTGCAAAATTATGAAAATTTTTGTTTGAATTAATTGCATGGAAAATGCTCTAATTTTTGATAAATTATGTATATGGTCTTAAAGTTAAATTTTTAAATTTTAGGTTTGAGGGATATGTGGTTGTGTATATATCTTGTGCCAATCACCCCTTATTTTTGAGACGTGACATCATGCTTTTGTATACTCTATAATTCTAATTTAGTTTTATTTTAAATAATATTTTTATTTAATGGTGAAAACTTTGGATTCCATTGGAAAAAAAGTTTAAATATCAGAGAATTTTAATTAACCGGTTACTTCAGGTTTTAAATTCATTGATAAAATTATTGGTTTTTGCATCCATTATATGTAAAATCCTATGATACTTAAACTTATTTTCAAAGAGGATCTCAAAATTTTATCATTAAATAAATAAATAAATATTATTTAAAATAAAACTAAATTAGAGTTATAAAGTATGCAGAAGTATGGGATACCAATCGTTTGGAAAACATTGCAAAAGAAAAGGGCAAAAAATGTCATTTCACAAAATTATGACTCTTTTGCTAGGGCCAACGATACATTCACCACATCGAACCACGTTGAGGCTAATTTGATCTACATAATAGTCAACGTTCTATACATAAACGGTGAAGGTAACTTGTTTGAAATTTCAAAGTTCAGGGTTCAAAACGCTATTCGCGTAATAGTTTAGAGTCTGTGGCACTAATTAACTAGGGCCTACGGTGAACATTAACAGCATTAAAAAAAGATAACGGTAGGGTTTAATTTATTATAAATTTAAAACTTTAGGGTTTATTTTATAAATTTTAAGAGTTTAGGGTCTAGGGTGCTTTTCAAACAAGAATTCAACATTTATTTTTCTTATTAACCCTTTATTTTCTAAATTTTTATTAAATTCTTAATTTTAATTTGACAATTCTAGCACAACTTCCCAATTAAAATGCACTCTCATATTTTAAATATGTTTAATTTTCGAAAAGATAATTTAGGAAAAAGATTGATACTTTAAAAATAATGTACTATGCTTGTTAGATCTATAAGCTAAATGTAGAAGTTGTTGACTTCTTATAAGAAGTTAGTTAAATCAATATAATCAAAATATTATTATTTTTATGAATAAATATGCTAACATGTCAATTCTTTAACTCGTAAATTGTTTTAACCATAGTTGATATTTAGACTAAAAATAATTAAGAAAATGACGAAATAAAAAAAGTGATCAAATATTTTATATCTAATTAGTTGAACTGTGATCTTAATATATATATATATATATAAAGGATATATTTTGAAAAGTATCTAATTAATAAGACAATATTTAGTCATATATTATTACTATTATATCAAGATTCAATTATTTCAATTAGCCTAAATTTAATACACAATAAACCCAAATTATATTACACATTTGTTTTTTTACACATGTTTGAGGAATATTAATTTAAGATTCAAATTAATGTCAATTGAAATAGAATATGTTCAATCCTTGATTAATGAGCTTTATACTCGGCATCCAATGGTCAAGATTCTACTCTAATTTCTTTCATCAATCAATAATGATCTATAGCTTATGAGAGAAATAAAGTATGACTCTGCTACATTTCATGGGCCAAGTTGGGTAAAATCACATTGATAGCAAAGCTCTCCTAACAAATATTTAACATAATACCATCGATTAAGCTAGCACAACCCCTTATTAGTTGAGCTACTTGCTTGTTGGTAGTTGAAATATCATTCTCTATATAAATGAATTTAACTATTGCATGTCTAATTATTACAAACAAGTAGTGTTATAGTTTAAAATATTAATTTAATCATAAAACATATGAAAGTAGAGATTCACTGCCACATTATATGCATTCCAAATTAAGATATCAAACAATAAATTTTTGAACAAATTTATTACTTCATATAAGGATGTACAATGGTCAATTCAATTAGATTTAATGTTAATTGATTAAAAGTAATGAATTGAACTGGCTTAAATAGTTGGACCGAAACGAACCGAACATTACTTGATAACCAGAAGCAACTTGAAATAATACAATTGAGCTAGATTCTTTAGTCCAGCTCATTAACATTAAATAATACTTTTACTTTATTTTAAAATAATTTTATTATTTTAAGGTATCAATTTAATCATAAAATATATAAAAAAGAAAACTCGTTACCTCATTTTATTTATTCATAAAAAATACAGTAATACAACAAAATTAATGCCTTAAAATATTAAATATTGGATTAAACAAAAAATAAAAAAAATGATGATGATATCTAGTTACCCTTAATTGTCATTTTTTTGTGATAATTCTAAGAATCTAACATTCTATAGTGGCATTCGGAGTTATCGTTGAAAGTCATATTTTTTGCGGTTAACTGTCCAACTTTCAGCTCGAGTCTAAAAAATTATGTCTGATTGTTCAACTTTCAGTGTTGACTTATATGTCGTCATTAAAACTTAGACTTTCGATGGTGACTTGCAAATATAACTGGTGAAAGTTGGGCGATCAATAGCGATGTTTTAGAGTCACCGTAAAAAGTGTAACTTTTAATAGCAACATTGAGTGTTATTGTAAAAGGTTAGACTTTTAGCTGCGATTTTTACTATCACCATATAATGTTCATCTTCAGTGGTGACTTTAAAAAGTTGTCATTGGAAGTCATCATTGAAAGCCATTTTTTTTTATATTGCTTGTTATTTGATCATTAATATAGACTAAAAGACTTTTTGAATATCTAGTTAGCAAGTCATGTAACAAAACATCAAACTTTAAGTGACCTATTTCAGCCAAAAAAAGGGGGGGAGTGCCTGTTACTCCACGTTATTGAACTTCATTTGAGGTGCCAATTATTCCTCCATGAATATTTTAGGACCAAAAATTCCCTCTAACAAAAGGTTAATTTGAAATTCATAGTCAACGTCAATATCTATTTGTCAAAAAATAACAGTACAGTGATTTTGATAGTTGATGAACAATATCAGCTCCATTAATGAATAGTTTTCGATAATTAGCACTCCTTATGAAATAGCTTACGAGCAAAAATATCTTTTAGCCTTTTTTTTAAAAAATGCTTAATTATAGGCACACGTAATGAGTACACAATTTTTAAGATTTTTTACAAGATTTTTTTTTTTTACGATTTAGAGAATCTTTTATCAATAACGTTTAGATCCTCAAACATCAACGCATTTAATTTAATTGTTTTAGCTTAATAACATAAATTCATCACATAAATAAATATGTGACTTACAACATCCCCTACATGAAATTCCAAGAATTGCAGGAAGTTAGGGTAACAATAATAGTAATTAATTAGAAGCAACCAGGGGGGTTTTGTTTGCCATAAGAAGCACCATTGACATTTGAACAAGAGCTGGTCAGCTTATTAAGATTAGAAGAAGGATGAGGCCAAAGATTAATGTCCTCCAATGTTATATCTTGGCATGGCTTATCTTTGCTGCAATTTAATGTTATTGCCTCTTCACTGCTGCTACTTCCTTGAATATTCTTGTACCTTACTTTACTTATCTCCACTTGTGAGCTCACCTTCAAATATAACAATCATCAACAAAAGTCATATAAATTTAAAAATATATTAAATACATGCCAATTGAGTGATTGAGTCTCTTAGAAGCATAAGTTCAAAATGAAAGCTCATATCAAAAGACTAACTTATTAAATACCAAAGCTCATTAAACTTATTATAAACCTTACTTTACTCATGAAGCTTTCTTGATGTGCGACTCTTAACATAATAGTTTTTTTTTTTTTTCAATTAATAACTCCATTTTTCCAACACTTTTTATTTTAAAGCTTTTTTTCTAAATGAAAATAAGAAAAAAAAATCAACAAAGATGACCTCAAACTATTACCATCATTGAAACTCCTTTGATAATGCAATTGTCTTTCCAAGTATGTATGTCTGTGTGTCATTACGAATATTGACAACCTAGACTTTTGATATCTCCGGTTGTTTTCTCTATTGCTTTGGAAAAAAAAATAGAATTAAAATATCATTATCCATTTATTATGTATCAAATAAAAATATATATTTAATTAAAAACATCTTAGCTTAAGGGTTAATGTGCAAAAATATCTGGAAACTTTTTCTCCAAGAGTTATTAGTTTCCTTAAATTAACAATGGTACATAGGTATCCATTTATAAAAGAGGCCAACATTTCCCAATTTATTAAGTTCTGAGAATAAAATTTAATAATCAACGTCAGGCTATTTTAATAGATAGAGGAAGGTTGAACTTTTATAAATTAAGTTAATATATACTCCCTTCATTCAAAAATGTAAGGCATTTTTTAGGAATTAGATGTTAAAAATGTAAGGCATTTTTAGTCTTTAGAGGTGCAATTATTGCCTTTTTTTCAAAAGTGCCTCTATTGATAATGACTTTATATTTATTGTAGAGTGTTTAATAAGGGTGAATATGAAAAGCTTTGGTTAGTTTGAAAGTAGATAACTACTTTATTAAGAAGTGAGATTCAATTAAAAATACCTTACATTTTTAAATATAGGGAGTACTTGTATACCATTATTTATTTAAAAATATCAGAAGTTTTATGAAGAAAAATTTTATTAATTTAAGGATATCAAAAGCTCCTGGAAAAAAAATTTCTGAGTATTTTTACACCTTAGACTTAATTTAATTAAGACAATTTAGAACTATTGTTGCAACAAGATATGTGGAGATATATCACGGCAGACGGGTAGTATTGTTTTGTTAATCCTAACCTCCTGGATGAATCTAAATGGTCTATATATTTATTCTTTCATACAAATAATTTTACCCAAAATGATAATCATTATGCCAACACATTAATGGAATCTAAATTCCAACCTAAAAAACTACTATATAAAATGAAACACATAAAGCTAGGAGAATTAGAAGCACAAACCTGTGTGTAGCAACGAGGAAATGGGCAATATTGTTGATCAATGATGATTGGGTTCCTCACATTATTCATCACAATATCTTCATACAAAAAATTATAAGCCTTCAAGGGTTTGCTTAAAGGATTAGCCCATGTCTTAATTCTCACACCTTGACTTGTTCCATCAAATGTGCAATTCTTCACAACAATGTCTTCAACATCTTCTTCTCCATCTCCCCTGCCAAGGCTTCCAACACTGATTCCATGTCCGGGACCGCACATCACTTCCGAGATCCGTACGGTTCGGGTGCCTGAAATCATGGCAATGCAATCGTCTCCCGTGCTAATGGCAGTTCTTGTGATGTTTATTCCAAAGGATTTTCCGATTTTGATGCCATCAGTGTTAGGGCTATCTTCAGGAGCCGATATTCTTATCTTTGTGAAGTTCATGTTCTTGCACCCAAATATCACAATATGACTACTTTTGCTATCAATGGAATGAATGTGATGAACTCGACCGTTGGTGATGAAGTCAAATCTAATGTTCTGATCACATGTGAAAAGTTCAGGGAGGGAGAAACAGAAGATGTTTTACATACATACATCGATAGGGAACGAATTAACAATAGTTTACAATTCCATTATTATGAGTTAGATTGATTTGAGAGATTTCTTATCACCTAGATATTCAAGGAACAAAAAAAGAGAAAAAGAAAATTAGAGAATGGCAATGCAGTGATATATTAAATGATTGGATTTTGTTATATAAAATGATTAACATATGCGATAATTGTTTAATCATCAAACATCATTTCTTGATTTTTATTTCCCTTTCTAAAATGAGAAAGATAATAATTACATTTTAATTGTTTTAATGAATATTTAATTCTTATTTTTTTCTTGTTCTGGAGGAAGGAGAGGGAGAGTGAATTGAAATCTTTAGAATTAAGGCATTTGATTTTTTTTTTGTAATTAACGTCTATTATATTTTTGTTATTTTTTAAATTTTTTATGAAAGAAAAAGTAATTTTCTTGACCAGAGAAAGAAATAGAGTGAATTAAAATCGAGAAAAGAGTAAATGTGCAATACCTCTCATCTGTATTTTTTTTTTTTTGGCCAAGTATCTCTATTTTTATGTTCATACCTTGCATCAAACATAAATAAATCGAAAAATAGTATTTGTTTTTAAATTAGCCCCATACAAACACACACATTAATGATATGTGTGTGCTTGTGTGAAAGAATGAAAAAGAACATACTGAAGCTAGCTGCCGACAATTAGGGTTGTTGCTGCAGTCATTGTGATGCCAAGCTGTCGCACCTTGTCCCACCAACTTGCCGCCACCAAAGACGGCGAGGTTATTGACATACCGGAAATTGATCCACTTGTCGGTGAATGGACCAGCCGGAGCTATCAAAACTCCTTTAATCACAAAAGCCATGAAACCCTTGCATGGTCCATCAAATATGACAGGGTTAAGCTGGAACGTCCCTTCTGGGATCCAAAACCTAGCTTTCCCTTCCCATTCACATGCCTCCTTCCATGCTTTCAAAAAAGCCTTTTAATTTGTTTCAAACAACACACCAATAGTAATCAATCATCTCTCTGTGAGTACATATATATATATATATATATACAATGAGTTCAGAAGGAGTGTCGAAAACATGATAATTGACACGGAAAGTGTGCTTGTCTGTGTGCATGTCGTGTCATGTATATATGTGTTACAAGTAGAAGTCCGAAATGAGAGACTACATTCTATAGCACTTCGCTTGGCCTCCTACTGGTTAGGGTACTCCATATGTAGCTTTCCAATATGGGATGAGTAGTCCTTTAATTTCCGTGGCAGTAGGCTTTTAATGAAAGCACTAATGTTACAAGCACAAATATAAAGGGAGATGCCATTGCCAATGATCGACTAGCATGTTGGGTGGAGAGTCCTCACACTCATAATTAATCTCTCTTTATTTGTCACTCTCTAACATCGGACTCATGACAATATGATATGGAAGTTTATGAACTAATAATTACATATAGTGAATCATAGCTTTTTCTCTGGGCAAAAACCTGTTGAATCATACTGAAGTATCAAGTATTGTCATTATATATAATTACCTGACTGTTATCTGTCTTCCCGTCCGCAGTTGCACCATAGTCTTTCACATTGAAAAACTTGACCTTAGAATCACTTTCTGCAACACAAACCAGTATGAAGAACACCAACAAAACATTCTGCAGATAGAAAAATTTCACCCCCATTTCTCGGTTTTGATCTTCTTCTTCCTAATTATTTGCAGAAGAAGAATATATTTGTCACGTGTGTGTGTGTGTGTGTGTAGATGAGTAGAATATATATTTAAATGATTAATTAGAGGATATTGAGAGGAAAATGAAAGTGGAAAGTGATGAAATATTTGCTGTTTCACAGGATTGAATTCGATTCTTGTGAAGATAATATTTGGAAGATGAAAAGTTGGTAAACAAATAAAAGTTAATTATTAGTGTTATTATTTCAGACAAATATTTAGTGCTGGTAATTAACATTTGGATGCCCTGTCAGGAAATTATTTTAAAAAGTTTAAAAATTGTTTTAGACAAGAGTGACTAATTTTTCAAGGAATAATTAATGAGAAAATTAGAAAATTTAAAAAGGAATTTGTTTTATATTAAAAAAAGATGAATTATTGGATTTCAATGGTTCATGAACAAGATTAAGAAAGATCTCATAGGTCAAAGCATATTCATAGAGATATCAGATTCAGAGCTTATCCATTAAAAAGTTAACACACTGGTAGTGAAAATTGAATTAATCACATCGTCCTTGTATTAAACGGAAACAATTTTGCCGTAATTGAAGTTTTTATATCTATTTGCGGGCGTGTTTGTATACTTTTTTTATCGTAAAATCAATTCCACTTCCATTCTTAATTATCAAGTTGTTTTCATTTTTATTTATTTATTTATAAAAAATAGAGCTAGGCCCAAAATCTAATTCAGCATCAATGACCCAAGGACAAGCATACCCCTAACATATTTGGAGACTTGAGACTGCATACTACGTATTTAGTAGTTCAGATTAATTTCATTTTTATTTATTATTGTTAAAAAAATATGATCTTTTTAATCTTTATATGATAATAACTTTGATATTCAAATGATAAAAGTTGATGCCATTTGAGCATTGAAAATTAATCTCCACATTTATTGCCAAAAGATCTCTACATTTTAATTAAGTTCTTTACAATAATTATTTTCAATTTTTTGTCTCTTTTTTATTACCTTTTGTCTGTCCATGTGTCTTCAATTATGCCTTCAATGTCATTGTCCTCGACCCTATATCATCAAGCTTTGATTTCGGGCATTCTTGGTGCCAAAATCTTGCATTAATTAGTCAGATCTGAGTTTATTAGCTTTAAACTAAAATTATCTTCAAAATATATTAACTGACACACGTTTCAAAATATACACATATTATAAGTTCACAAGATATTTAAACAAGTATATAATTGTATAAAGTTATATGAATTTGGTTCCAAGCAAGGTGTATGGCTTTGATAGCAATATTGTCAAAATAATATTGTAATAAAATAGTACAAAAACACGTATTTCTTTAAAAATGATTTATGATGTCATTATAAAAAAGTGAAATATATCTGCAAGTTTTTACAGTTTTATTCAATTTTTAATTAGATCCCCATAGTTTATTTTATTTTAATTGAGCCCTTATAATTTTGAACAATTAAATTTTTAATCCCTTAAGGTTAAAATCTTTAATTTTTTTTTTTAAAAAACAAAAGTAAGAACTTATATATATATAGTTACCAAAAGAACTTTTATATTTTTATTAAATGATTGTATAAATTTAGAATTAATTAGATAATTTTTATAACTCAAAATTTATATACTTAGGTTGTCTTTTAAATATTTCTTATAAATATAGAATTTTCAAAAGAAAACTTAATAAAAATGTAAATAGTGTCTTAAAAAATTTCCTTTTTCTGATTTTAGCTAAAAGTATTAAATCAAATTCAACAATTCATTATTAATTTTAACCTACAGAAGTTAACATATATAATAGATCAAACTTTAAGAACTTCAATGTAACAAAATAAATTACAAGGGCTTTATTTAAAATTAAACAACTCTGTAAGGATCTATAAATTAATTTTTTTCAAAAACCGATGCCCAAGTAACATTTTCATTTGAAATTGCTGGAAACGCTGACAGACATTTCTCTATAAACGCTGTCCAGGACGAGATTTATTGGGACGTTGATACTGGTGGCGCCTTACCAAATGCCACCAATGTCAGCGTTTGTTAAAAACGTATGTGTTTGTCCCTCCCTAATTTAGGTGAGGTAATAAAAATTTCATTACCTATCTAGAATACCATAGATGATAATTTAAATAAGTTTAATATATTTGGCCATGCTAATCAGACAAATTTAAATAAGTCCAAATATCTAAAAAAACCGAACAGTCAACGCTGACTTGAACCTCTTCAGGGTTTAACCTTATTCTATCAACTTGAATTTTTAAATTATTAATTTTTAAATAATTTAATTTAATTAAATTTTTTAATTTGAAATTAATTATTTTTATTTTAAAAAATATAAAATATTTTTTGGGATACTTAAAAATTATATAAAAATCAAACCATTTTTTAAAAAAATTTGTGGGTCTTAAAATTTAAAAACTAATATTAAAATACATTTTAAATATTATTTTAAAATATTTTATAGGTTAACAATATAAAAATAGAAATATTTTTTAATTTATTTTAAAATTAGAAATAATAATGTACTCAAATATTTGTGATCTTAGTATAAAATAATAAAATAACATAAAATATAAAGAATTAATTAATATTTAATATATATTTTAAAATATAATTTTTTATTCAAATATTCAGACCTATTTGGACTAATTCTATTTTTTTTTTTTTTTGGGTTGGCCCAAAAATCGTCTACTTGAAAGGTACACGCATATCCGTCCATCCCATTTTCAATTTTTTAATCTTTTTGGTTTATAATTTTTGTTAAATATATTTGTAGGCTGTTGAAGTATTCTACGAGTGGTATTTGTCAAGAAAACAATTAAGGTTAGTTAAAAAAAATTATATGTATGTTTTTTTATTAATTATATTTATTATAGTTCGTTAGTTATTTTATTATAATTTTAAAATTTTAGATTACGTACATGTTTAAAATTAATGATTGAGGTTAGAGAAATTATAGATAATGCATATGTTCATTTATTTTTTTATGATATTAATTTTTTGAATTTTATCTCATTTAATTTTAAATTTATGGTGATGTAATATTAAATTAGGTAAAAAAAATTATATTTATAAATAATATTTTTTAATTAGGATAGAAAACTTATTAAACTTAAACTTTTTGAAATGATGAATAGATCTGAGTTATACGTTTTGGTCAATGCATGAGGAGACTCATGATATGAAATTAAAGATGTCTTAGCAGCTTTAAAAACAAGAATTGAGAAGTTACTATTAGAGCATCAAGAAAATCCCATCATTGATATAGTTTATGATGCATTTGGAGTACAGCAAGAGATGACAATTTTTCAAAAAGCAGATTTGCTATTTTTGGATCAAAGGGATGAAGAAACTAGAAATTTTTATGAATTTTTAAGAGATGGAGTGCAACCTTTGTTTAATATATGTGAAAATTAATACGTGAAGCTTTCATATTTGGTAATATTATATCACATTAAGTGTCATTGTGGAATCAGTAACAAAGACAATATCCATGATTTCTGAATTATTTTTAGCAAATGCATTTGAAAATGCTAAAATTTTGATGTCACAAAGAAGAATGATACACAAATTATGATTGAAGTATAAAAAAATTAATGCATGTCCAAAGGATCAATTGCATGTTATGCTCCTGATGAAAACATTGAAGTGTGTAAAAACTGTGAAACTTCTAAATGGAAGCTGAAGAAGAGGGAAAAAAAGAGGAAAGAATAAGAAAATTTTGAGATATTTCCCATTGAAACTATGCTACCAGTAAATGTCTCCTAACATTACCAAAACACTTGACTTCGTAACCACTTTACCATATAATTAAGAGGACAAATCGCATTTAAAGTTTATCATGGTAAAAAAGGATAAAATTGAGTTTAAGAAACTCTATCATAATAAAAAAAATAATAAAATAGGGTGATAAAAGCCTTCTATGGTAGAAAAGGTTAAAAGTAAATTCAATAAATCTACAACTTGTGAAAATTGGGATCCCAAACTAAAATAATCATTTATGAAGTAATTGGAGCTCAAAAACCTTCTAAATCAGAGTAAGGAACAATTTGGAAGCCTTGAAAACAATTAATTTCTAACCTCTAATAAAGCTTCTATGGGAACCCAAGAGAAAATGATGTTCCGTAAACAATTCTTCTTAAAGAGGATGTTCTCAGAAATATGAAGACACTTCCAATCATTTAGAGTTGAACTAGTATTCAAGCTATCAATCATAGTTTTTGAATCAACTTCAAAATAGACATAATCAAGTTTATTAGAACAAGCAAACTCCACAGCTTGATCCAAACCAAGGAATTTAGCCGACAAAGCAAAATGAGCTTCACAAATAGAGTGAGAACCATCAAGAAGCCAACCATTCGGATCCTTGACAAAAAAGCAATGGAGGCAACATTTTTATCACAACAAAAAGCACCATCTACATTAATTTTAAGTTCATTTGCAACAGGAGCTGTCCATCTACATTTTTATCAGAACTAACATTCTCACACTCTAGCCATTAGCATTCCAGAAATCACTAAACATGTCAGCAGCACATTTATTAACAAGAATAGGATCCACACTATTAAAAAATACCGTATATATAACACCTCATATTTAACGATTATAAGAAAAAACGTTGAATAAAAAAAGGCAGGATTTTGAAAAACTAATATTCAGCGGTTAAAAAAATAACTGTTGAATAAAATCGTCAAAAAAATGCTTGGTGACATCACCATATTATTCAACGGTTTAGGAAAAGAAACCGTTGAATAAAGTGTCAGAATATTCAACGGTTAAAATCAAAAACTGTTGAATAAATGTTTTGAAACCGTCTTATGACGTTATCTTATTATTCAACGGTTCCTTAACCAGAATCGTTGAATAAATGTTTATAATATTTAACGGTTTTCCTTGAGGAATCGTTGAATAAACCTTTATTCAATGGTTTTTAAATATAATCGTTGAATAATTTCATTTGAATCGCCTCTTCATTCTTCCGAAACCGTTACTCTCAAATGCTTAAAACTTCATTTCTCCTCTGCAGAACCAGATACCCACTGTCGAATCTCCTTCCCCAAGCACTGAGTCCACATTTCTGGCCAAACCCTTCCATATTTCACCGTTGGAACGCCGTCGCAAGCCTTCATTGCCATTTTTGTCTTCCGTCTTGTGGTGTGCGAACGCGTAAGTGCTCTACGTTACATTTCGCTCCTCTTTCTCTTCCTCTTCCCTCTTCCTCTTCCTTCTTCTTCTTCCTCTTCCTCTTCGTCTCTTTCTTCCTAACTTCATCTTCCTCTTCCATTCCAGTTGCTTGGTTCGTGATTCATCTCCATTCAACCATGTACGTGCGTGGATCGACAAACAAAAAAAGGTTAGTTTTTTTTTAAGAAATTTTATAAAATTTGAGTATTTTATTTGAACATTATGATTATTTACAATGGGGATGATTTCATATACAATGTGCTTGAATTTTGGTTGAACAAAAATGCTCTGTGTCTGCTACCAATTGTTAAATGTGATTGATTGAGTAATTTTTAATATGAATTTGTTGTTATTTTAATGTTCAATTTGTTAAAAAAGGGCAGTAAGCCTGGGAAATGCTTAGTTTTATGCCGTTATGCTGCCAAATTTTTTAAAAAATTTTAGTCTTGCAAATATGACCATTATTAATTATGGTCTAGAGGGAGTTTAATTATACTTCTATCTTGTTTCTTGAATTAGTTTAAAATTTTGTAGGTTAAAATAGTGTAAAGAAAGGGCATGATACTTGGGGAATACTTATTTGAAATTGTTAGGCTGCTAATTTTTTTTAATTTTAATTTTTCTCTTGAAAAGAACAAATATAAGCGTAGTTGAAGTTGTTGAAGTAATTAAACTCGTGATTCACTGAATGCTTTTCTATTTTTACCATCTTTCTTAAATAAGGGTATTATGGATAAGGAGTGGATGTCTGCCAATCACCTATCTAAAGAATATTGGGATGGGGTGGTAGAATTTGTTAAGTTTGTGGTAAACAACGCAAAAAATCATGAGCGAATTATTTGTCCTTGTTTAAGTTGTGGTAATGTGAAGTCAATTTCTCCTGAGACATGCGAATTTCACTTGTTTAAGTATGGAATTGATCAAAGTTACAAGTGTTAGGTAAAGCATGGGGAGACACCTGAAGATGTGAATAACAGTAGCCGAGGGTATATAGAAAGTTCGAAGGTTGAAAACTAATGCGGAGACACCTTTGTCTTGAAGAATTGGTTGATGTGATGGAAGAGGAACTCGAGAATTTTCCAGAGAAGTTCGAAAGGTTGAAAACTAATGCGGAGACACCTTTGTATGAGGGTTGTACTGAGTTCACTTTATTGTCCACTGTGTTAGAATTGTACAACTTGAAAGCAATAAGTGGGTGGAGTGATACAAGTTTTTCAAGCTTGCTTTCTCTAATCAAACTAATGCTACCGAAGAATAATAAGCTTTCGAATCGGCTATATAATGCAAAGAAGGTGTTACGCATAGTTGGCCTAAGCTATAAGAAGATACATGCTTGCCCTAATGATTGCATTTTGTTTAGGAATGAATATGAAGAGCTAACCCACTGTTCTAAGTGTGAGACATCACGTTATAAGCAAAATGGGAAGAGTGCGAAGAAGGCAATATGGTATTTTCCTATTATTTTAAGATTTAGGCATTTGTATAGCATACGTCAAGAGGCAAAGAATTTAATATGGCATGCAAATGGAAGGATTAAAGATGATAAGATTTGGCATCCAGCTGATTCACCTGAATGGATAAGGTTTGATCGGAAGTACCCTGAGTTTAGAAAAGAAGATAGGAACCTACGCCTCATATTATCTACTGATAGGATGAACCCACATGGTATGCAGAGCAGTACCTATAGTACATGGCCTGTGATGATGGTCATTTATAACCTTCCTCCCTGACTTTGCATGAAGTGAAAGTATATGATGCTATCCTTACTAATATCGGGGCCCAAGTAACCCGAAAATGACATAGATGTTTACTTAGAACCATTGTGTAACATCCTGAAATTTTAAGACTCGGATTTATAAAAATAAAATAAAATAAAATATCTATAATTAAATTAAAATTTAGAATAATTTGATAGAGGTCCAGAGTTTGAATTTTACTAAGCAAAAGTTTAGTTTTATTTGATTTTTAACTATGGGAAAAATTACCAAAGTTGACCTGGGCTTTTGTGCTATAATAAAAAATGTTGGGCCCTTTCTTGTAATTTTCCCAAACTTTTAGATCAACTTTTATAAGGGGAAAAACAGACCAGAAACGCAGAAAAGAAAACAAGGAAAGGAAAGGAAACGCGTGAGAGAGAGAGAGAGAGAGGAAGAAGAAAGGAGAAAGAGAGGGAGTTAGGCTCAGATCTAGGAGTCTTTGCGACCGTTGCGAGCTCGGCTACACGATAGGTAAACTTCCTACTTCAATCCTCTTCCCTTTCTCTTGATTTTCTTCAATTTTTGGAAGAGAAAATTTTTAGATTTTGATCCCAAAGGCTTTATTCTTGTAAGCTTTTATTTCTTTGGATCCTAAGGAGCATGTTTTGAGTTTCTATATAGTGATCTAATGTTTTGAGTGGATAATTGGATGAAAAGAGGTGTTTTGGGCACAAATTAAATCCTGAGAAATTGGGTTTTTGCTCTTCAATGGTTTAAGCTTATTGATTTAGTTATAATTTTGCTATTTGAGCCCAATAAGATTTAAATTAAGGTTTGGTTTTCATTATAAGGGCTAATGGTGAAAGTTGGTGACACTAAGTGAAGGTTTTTAATTGATAAAAAATTATATAAATTGGAAATTAGCCTGATGATGGCTAATAAATGATTTTGGTGGTTAAGTGATACTATGTGAATGGTTGGTTTAATATATGGACTATTGGAATGGATTATGGCTCATAAACCCAAGTTGTGTGGTATGAGTTATAGTCTTCATTAATGCTATTTGACATGATAAGTGATGTGGATCACTTATATGTTGTAGGAATTGTTGGTGAAATTTGTTCAGAAGTTAAGGAACAAGCTGAGCCCTATTTTGTACAAGGGGAACCCTTTTGGTACCAAAGGGTTGAGGTAACAGGGGAAATTTATATTTTTTATTACTCTGTTTTAGCTATTTTTGAATAAATATTACTAGCTATCATGCATTACATGTTTTAAAAGATTAAATGTGCTTTATAAGGGGTTATGGGGTACTAATTTGATTATAGTGCAAATATGTTTTCTAATTGTTTAATAACAATGTTTTTATAGAAATGAGATTTATAAATATTATACTACTTTAGAGTGTTGAATGGTCAATACTCAAGAAAGGTAGACAAGAGTAAAAGGCATGATCTCGGTGGGAGTTCACCAATGAGAAGGTGTGGATTTTTGATATTCTATGGCACACTGTCAGTACTCAGTGTTGTCTTACGTATTGTGGGCTCAGTGCGCTAAAGTGGTTAGTGTATTGAGTGTTTGACATCTCTCAGTGGGGGAAGGAATCCGACATATGAAGTGTGAAGTTGAGTGCCTAGGCCAAGGTAGCCCTCACATGGAGAGTAAGTCGGGCTGGCTCTAGGAGGGAGTTAGCTTTGACTGCTCAGGATTCACGTTGAAGGGGCATAGGCGGTTCAGTAGATTAGATCATGCCTTAGATTATGTTTTGTGCCTGTGGAGGTACAAGTTGGTATAAGGTTTACCTGCGAGTTAAAGAGTGCCAGGGGGCATTCTGTTGGTCATGAAAGGCCATACCGGCCTAGGTCATGCATTTATGCATTTTAAATGGCTAAATTATATACTATGTTGAATTTATTATTCGTTTATTTGATTATGGCTTACTTTGTAATAATTAATGTAGATTTCACTGTTACTGAAACTGTGGTTGTGTCACCCCTTTCTTTTCAATATTCTAGGTCCAGGCGAAGGATCCAGTGGTGGACGGGGAAAGGAGCAAAGCTAGGGGTTTGCTTGTGATTTGTAAAGAACTGCAACCCCTTTCTTTTGAGTAAATATATTGTAATGTATTTAGGATTAGGGTGCCAATAGGATATGATTATGTATGTGTGTGTGAATATGTGTGGATTGTGTGCTTGTGTATGAATTTTTGTCTGTTTGTAGACTTGTGGCTAGGAAACTTGGTTATGGTGTGTGGTTTTGATGGATTTACTTAGTAAACTAAGTTTCTATTACAAGTAGATATTTATTTTGATATATATGTGATTTTATAAGCAAATGCAAAGTGGTTGCATTGCAAATGATGTGCTATGAGCAAACATACACCTTGGATAGAGAGAGTGGGTGCATGGGCCCCACAAGGAGCTTTGAGCCAAGTGAAAATGTTTAGCATATGTATTTATATAAATACAAGGTATTTAGATTGATTTGTGACCACTCTTGTATGATTTGTGCATTTTGGAGGTTTAGGGTCCATTTTGGGAAATGGCACCCTGGTGGTCAAATTTTGATGTATGGGGATTTTTCATCATTTGAATGTTCTATCAGGTTTTTTTAGTCTTACTTGACGTGTCCAAAGTGTTCCCACAGGTTTGTGACCATTAGGATGAGATTTGGACAATTTTGAAAATGGTTTTTACCAAAAAGCTACACTTTTACATCCAGGTGTCCAAATCTTAATCCGACCGTTGGATTTCTCTAAAATTTGGGTCACAAGTAAAACCTTTTATAAGCTTTGTGTGGGCTTTAGAATCACATCGATCGAATATCGGACAGAGAAACGACACACTCCGGAATTTGGTCTAGAGGTGCTGTCATAACAGCATTAAATTGCTGTCATGACAGCTACAATATTGATGTTGTAACCTGTACAAAATTCAATCCGTCCGTTGGATCTTTTCAAAATTTAATATGCTAATAGTATTCTTTAAAAGTGACATGTGGGCTTTGGAATCACTCCGATCGGAGGTCAGATGATGAAATGGTGCACTCCGAAAGTTGGTCCGAAAGTGCTGTCTCATGATAGCAAAAATAATCAATTTTTTAACATGTTTAATTTTCAATCCAACCGTTGGATCTTTTTGAAATTTGGCATACTTATAGTACCCTTTAAATGTGACGTGTGAGCTTTAAAATCACTTCGATCGAAGGTCGAATGACGAAATGATGCCTCCCAGAAGTTGGCCCAGGAGGGCTGT